TCCAAGTTAATTCTCGTTATAACCCATAGGCAACCTAGTGTTGGATACCTTGGACCATAACTACGAATTAATCATGTAACCTTTAAGTCCCCAGTGGATTCACCACTTTAAGGAGGGTGATCCCATCGTAAGGGGTACTCTCCTTAAATGCCCTTGGCCACTTAAAAGCCTAGGACTTTACACTTGTTAGAGTGTAGTAGGATTTAAATTCTTGACTATTTTGGGGACCTTGAATTAGGATTGATTATATCATTACGCTTTTTTATAAGAAACAAGTAGGAGTCGACAATGACTTTTAGGAAAAACTCATAAACCTCGTTCATGCCTTTCTTCCATGTGGAATTCATGGAATAATTTGCATAAATCAAAAAGTTACTCATGCCCAAATTAGGCTATAAACCAGAAATGTGTTCGGGAGCGAGGGTACTAAAATAACGTTCCTATTAGAGGGGAATCGTTATCCTAGCCCTAGTACGCACACTACTAGCTCTTTCTTTTGTACAATTTCATCACCAAACAATATATGCAACGTGATACTTAAAACTATGTTAGTTGATTTTATTTACAAGCATTAATTCACGTAGGAATTACACCGTAATGTCGTTATTCTTATTTAATTAAATTCGTGAAAAGTACAAGAAAATAAACATGGTTCGCCTTGGCTTAAGTGTTCAACCAACAATTATTTAATTCAATTCTAATATTTATTTAACGCAAGATACTATGTGGAATTGATTAATTAATTATTTTAAAGGTGATCAAACAACACTAATTAATTCATTAAAGTTCTTTTGAACAAGAAAATAAAGGTGATTTAACTAAGTGATCGGGAATTTACCACATCTCTTTGCTAGAACTCCGTTTAGAACACTTATGGACTCCTTCTTGTTGGGGAACCTCCACCGTAGTATTAAAGTATCGAAAGGGTGAGTGTTTAGGATAATAGGGCTAGGTTGCACAAGTTCACAAGTTATTTCGCCAGAGTTTTGGGTTAATTTTTGTCTATTTATGTACAGTTTATGCTCGTATTTATAGGGAATAATTAGGTTTAGGGTTTCGAGCATTCTGCTGCAGCAGGTGTCGCGTGCAACAAATTGGGTTGCGCGCGGCATCCCAACGCAAGTGATTGAGTTGCGCTGCTATGTGCAGTGCAACTAATTGTCTTGTGAGCGGCTTTATGGTAAGATTCGATTTTAATTTTCCGTATAATTCTGAATAATTCTAAACCTTCTGCAGCGCAACTTTGAAAGTTGCGCTGGGTCTCCCGCGCAAGTGAATTAGTTGCGCACGTTAGCCTAGCGCGACTCTTTGAGATGCGCACAGCTTTTCAAGCGGCAACACTAAGATTTAACCTAGGCTGTCCTAAATCCATCATTATTAGGGTTTAAGCACGGGCTTAAGCGTAATTATGATGGGTTTAGTCAATTAGACCTTTGTTTTGGCTTTTTCTTTAATTTGGGCTAGTCTTTTGTGTTTTGTGGCTTAACCAGTTATCCAAAAGTATTCTTCACTTCGATCCAACACAAAGATGGTTTTATTTATCGTCATTGCACTTCCTGTTGGGAAAGGAGGCCAAAAGTAGATGTGTTTAGCCACCGTGGAAACGTATAAGGCTAACATCTAAGATACACAGCGGAAGACTACTTTTTAAACCTTTCCAAAATAAATCAACTTAAAAAGTTAAACAAACGAAAGTAAAGATAAGACCAAAATAAACGAAGTAAAATGTAAATCAACCTACAACTTGGAACCATTAAAGGCCCTTATTAAAAACCAAACCAAACCAAACCAAATCCAAAACTTAATGTTATCTCCACATATAAATAATAGCATAAATAATTAAAGCAGAAACACATTGTAAACTAATAGAAACTAGCATGATTCGCTCTTCACTCATGCCCCGTCACGAACATCCTTCAATACCTGAAAATCTTATCTCTACTTGTCTCCACTACTCTCCATTAAAAATGGGTCATCATAGGGCCAAGATAGAGACATGGCCAAAACACACATACATACAATCAGCAAAGCTAAGTACATAAGCGTAAATAAACACGCTAACATGCTTTCACCTATCAACACACACTTACCTCAATGCACCTATTTACAAGCACACACAACATTCAACAAGACTTTAAAACTAGACCACTAAATAATTTATTAAGCGTTGATCACGCATCGAACGGGTTTAAAACTCTATCTCCCCCAAATAAATTTAGGTTAACTGACACGGGAGCTAACCGTGCCAGCACAAAACCACACATAAGTGGCGGAATTCCTGCGCATAATAATAAAAAAAACTGCGCATAATAATAAAAAAAAAGGAATGTACAACATCCTGTACTCCATTAGAAGTTATGGTTAAATAAAAAACCCCACAACTCCCCCCATATCTTTATACTAAAGGTATTTACATTCCAAGAGTTTCGGTGCGTAATCTTTTTTAATTTACATTATTTAAGATTATTAGACTTGGTGATGACTCTTAAACCACAATCATTTAATCAACAACAAATATTCAATCAACCAAAAATGCAAATTTAATCTTGAAAAATTAGCGACTACATAATATTTAATGTTAAACCCTTTTTAAAACTACCTCAGTGTCAAAGACACCTTAAACGCATAAAGCGCCACAAATCCTATCCCTCGGTGTCAAAAACACCTTAAGTGCACGAAGGCACCAACATATAATTTATACCTCGTGTACCAAGACACTTATATAGCTCCTTTCTCATGCTTATAGCATCAATAAAAATTAGATGAACCATAAAAAAATTAATTTTCAATATTCCAAACCAAATTAAACATGCAGTTTAATTAAACATGCGTTATAACATGCTACAAATAAAAATATTGTCCATATAATCATGTCAAAATATAATCTTCCAATCCATAAACCATCACAAATAAGTCATGCTTCACAATTCAATCACCATCATCAATAATCCACCATTCCTAACATAAACCTTGGCATGATACTACTGGTAATTGATTTAAATCAAGCCTAACATGATACTACAACAACAAAAAATGCTAAGTATGCGAACGTATCAAGAGTACGATCTTAAAATCACTACGACTAATAAAAATTGCTTACTTCAAAGTCACCTACACATTAAAATCATAGTAGAGTATTAAAATCAACTCTAAACAAATTTCAAGCAATATATACTATATTAAAATCCCTCATAATTTAATTAAAATAAGCTGAAGTTATATTTAAAACATCATACTCTAGTCTCAATTAATGGGTAATTGAAATTTCTTAAAGAAACTTAGTTTTAAATACATTACTAAAAATTTCAACACTTTATTTTAATTAAAACTTGGTGTTAATAAGCCTTAAAACACTTTAAACAAAGATCTAAACCATTATACATCATAATCCTTCAATTATTCATCAATCAAGAACCTAGGGTTTCAAAAATTGGGGCTTTTTAATTAAAATCAACTCTGAAAATTTAGTAGCATAATACTTATTATCAAATTTCAAAATTAAATCCAAAAACTCAAAATTATTAATTAGATCTAAGCATAGATTTGTTTTAAACAATAAAGGTTAAGTTGTTTTTTTTTTTTTCAATAAACCAAAAGGGGAGGAGGAAAACGGCAGCCACTTGCTGCCGGCTGCTGTTAGCGGCGGCTACCTGCTGCCGGCGGCTGACGTTGCTGGTGGCTGCGGTCACCTACTACTGGTGGTCGGAAGTGGTGGGGGAAAAGGGCAGCCGAAAAAAAAGGAAAGGGAAGGGTAAAAAAAAGAGAAAGAAAAAAAATAAGGAGAAAGGAGTGAGAAGTTTACCTTGGGTCTTCTCCACTCTAGGCTAATCTACCTTGCCTATTCTTTGTAATATTTCATATGGATAATTGTACTTTGGGCTAAGCTTCCCTTTCTTCCCAAATCTCATCACTCCCTTCATAGGTGACACCTTCAACAATACTTTATCACCAACTTCAAACTCTTCTTCTCTACGCTTCAAGTCTGCGTAGCTCTTTTGGCGATCTTGAGATGTTTGAATCTTGGCTTGAATTTCCCTTACTTGCTTTACTATATCCTCAATTTTTTTGATTCCCTAGAATCATTGTTTCACTTATGTCGTTCCAATAAATTGGATTGCGACACTTCCTCCCATACAAAGCCTCAAATGGAGCCATTCCTATGCTCTCATGATAACTGTTATTATAGGAAAATTCAATTAAATCCAAGTTGTCTTCCCACCCTCCTTGGAAGTCTATAACACAATCTCTTAACATATCTTCCAAGGTTTGAATGGTTCTCTCCGTTTGTCCATCTGTGGCAGGGTGAAATGTTTTACTCATCTTAAGTGTTAAACCAAAATTTTCCTGTACACTTTTCCAGAATTTTGAAAGAAACCTGGAATCTCTATCAGACACAATATCCTTTGGAACTCCATGTAGTCTCACAACATGTTTGATGTATGATTTTGCAAGCTGCTCCATCTTCCAAGTCTCCTTCATTGGTATAAACACTGCGGAATTGTAAGTCTATCCACTACCACCTAAATGGTGTCATTTCCACACTTTGACTTAGGGAGGCAAGTCACAAAATCCATCGAAATGCAATCCCACTTCCATCCGGGGATTTCCAATGGCTGCACTGCTCCTTGGGTTCTTTTGTGCTCTATTTTCACCTTTTGGCAAGTTAAACACTTTTCTGTAACATCATTTTTCATTCTAGGCCACCAAAACATCTTTTTCAAATCCTTATATAGTTTATCCCCTCCTGGGTGTACTGAGTAAAGTGTATGGTTACTCTCCTCAATCAACTTCTTTTTTACTTCCCCACATTTCTATGGTACACACCATCAACTTTTGTATCTTAAAATCCCATCCTCATGAATCTTAAAGAGTGTAGCTTTTCCTTGTTCAATTTTCTCGCGAATCCTATCCAACTTCACATCTCCTTCTTGTTTTGCTCGTATTTCGTCGTATATTGTTGGTTGGATCCTTAAACACGCAAGAATACCGGCTGGTACACCTCATTCTACGACTTCTAAATTAAACTTCATCAGCTCCCTACACAACTCATTAGCTACTACTAATATGTTTAGTCCATGAATGGTCTTACGACTTAGAGCATCTGCAACTATATTCGCTTTTCCTTCATGGTATTGTATATCTAAGGTGTAATCCGTTGTGTACTCTAACCATCTTCTTTGCTGAGAGTTCAGGTCTTTTTTGGTGAAAATATACTTCAAGCTCTTATGGTCTGTGTAGATTCTACACTTCACCTCATATAGGTAATGGCATCAGATTTTTAGTTCAAAGATAATTGCAGCTAATTCTAATTCATGAGTTGGGTAATTCATTTCATGGGTCTTTAACTGCCTCGATGCATATGCAATCACCTTTCAATTTTGCATAAGCACACACCCTAAGCCATTCTTTGATGCATCGCTATACACATCATACACCCCACTATCATCTGGCAACATAAGCACTGGTGCTGTGACTAGTGTTTGCTTCAGCAATTGGAATGATTCTTCACACTTATCATCCCACTCGAATTTCTTATCCTTCTTCATCAGGGTAGTCATAGGTTTAGCAATCTCAAAGAAATCCTTAACAAAACACTTATAATACCCTACTAAACCTAAAAAACTTCACACATCAGATACTGTTTTGGGTGTAGGCCAACTCTTAACAACTTCAATCTTGGCTGGGTCTACTTCTACTCTATCCTTAGACACAAAATGACCAAGAAATTCCACCTTTTCCAACCAACTCACACTTAGAGAACTTTGCATAAAAAACTATTTTTTCTTAGCGTTTTAGAATTGCTCGTAGGTGTTCGACATGCTCTTTTTTGCTCTTTGAGTACACCAATATATCATCTATGAATACTACCACAAACTTATCCATAAATTGATGAAATACCCTATTCATCAAATCCATAAAGATTGATGGAGCATTTGTTAATCCAAATAGCATAACTGTAAACTCGTAGTGTCCATACCTTGTCCTAAATGCAGTTTTAGGGATGTCCTCATCTGCAATCCTCAATTGATGATACCCAGACCTCAAATAAATCTTTAAAAACATTGTAGCACCTTTTTATTGATAAAAAAAATCATTTATTCTTGGTAAGGGATACTTATTCTTTATGGTTACTTTGTTTAATTCCCTGTAGTCAATATACAATCTCAAACTCCCATATTTCTTCTTCACAAATAAAACCAGTGCTCCCCAAGGGGAAGCTCTTGGTCTAATGTATCCCATATCTAATAAATTATGTAATTTCTCCTTTAACTCACTCATTTCTGTAGGTGCCATTCGATATGGTGCTTTAGATATTGGGGCTGTTCTAGGAACTAAATCTATGGTAAAGTCAATTTCCCTCTCAAGTGGCATTCTAGGGATCTCATCTAGAAATACATCCAGAAATTCATTGACTACTTATATATCTTCCAGTTTAGTCACTTGCTCATGATCCATATTTCTAACACTACAGAAGTATACTGGATGCCCCTTCTTCATGTGCTTTGCCAATTTAAGCACTGATATTAACTTTTGGCACTTGGTTTCACCATGCATCCAATAAGTCAATGACTCCTTCTCACTTGTGATCATTTTCACTTTCTACAATCGACAACTGATCTCAGCATGGTACTTACTCAACCAATCCATTCCTAGAATGAGATCAAAGTCACTCAACCCGAACTCAATGAAATTAGACAGGAATACTTTTCCTTCTATTTCTAAAAGCAAATTTCTCAGGGTTTTGGTACATTTCACTACCCAACCCGTAGGGATGGTTATAAGTAGATCAACTACTTCTACTGATTTTAAACAGTCTTTAAGTTTTGAAACAATAACCTTAGAATCAAAAGAAAAAGTTGCACCAGAATCAAATTATACATTAACAGGAATAGAGTTAATAGAAAAAGTACTAGTGATAACATCTTTCGTGGAATCAACCTCATGCTTGCTCATAACGTTCAATTTCCCTACAGCTCCACCTCTCTGTTGGTTGTTCCCACTGTTATTATTATTGTTCTTTACTCTATTCTGATGTGCTCCCTTATTCCTAGTAAAGTTGTTGTTGTTCCCTTGAAAATTCCTATGATTTCCTCCAAAATTATTACTTTTCTGCCTGTACCCATTGGTATTCTTAGAGAAACACTCATACTCCCTATGCCCAAGTTTATTACAAGCGTGACAAGCAACCAAATTGCCTTCGCAAACCTTCCCAGGGTGATTGTTTCTACACCTTTTGCAAAAATAAGTCCTCCCATTCTTGTTATTCCCTTGGTTATGGTTTATAGCCCCTTCAATGTTATTACGTTCTCCCTGACGGTTGTTACCTTGGAATTTATTATTGTTGTGGAAGTTATTGTTATTATTGTGGTACTTCTGATTCTTAAAGTCGTTCTGGTTTCCCTGATGGTTACCAGAAACTTGCCCCACTTCCTTCCTCTTTTCTCTTCCTTCTATCTCAGCTAACTCCTTCTTTTTCTTCTCCTCCAATGTGTAAAGGTGTGCGGCCCTTCCATATACATCATCCAAGGTCTCAAACACTTGCCCGCACGGCTTTAACTGCAAATCAGTAGTCAAGCCACTTTCAAACTTTCTAGCTTTTGCCTTCTCTGTAGCAACAGACTCTACATCAAAACGGGACAACTCAATAAACATGGTTTAGTATTCAATAACTGACATATTTTCCATCTTAAGGTTTGAGAACTCCTCTGCCTTTTGCTTCTGTAGGAAACTAGGGTCAAACTTGTCTCTCACTTTCCCTTGGAACTTAGTCCATTGAATCCAGGTAATGCTCTAATGGTAGCTTAGTTTGTTGCCACCAAAGGTTAGCTTCACCCCTCAGATAGTAGGTAGCACAACACACCTTAGAATTCTCTAGGCATCCTACCGCTCCAAACAGTTTCTCAAACTCCCTCAACCAGTTTTCCAGTATGGTAGGATTAGGCTCCCCTTGATAGGTTGGTCGTTTACTTTGAGCCACCTTCTTAAAAAGCTCTCCGATGCCTTAGCATCCCCATTACTAGTTGAGTTCCTTGCCATTTGTTGGGCAACTGCTGCCAATTGTCTCACTACTTCACTAAGTTCATTTCCATCATTGGTAGTACTGCTTCCCCCTACCATCTTTCTTTTATTGAATTAAAAGAATAAGGTACTAAGTTTAATATAAAATGTTGGTTAGCTCCCAAGGCATATTCTCATCCATTAATTAATTACCCTTAAATCATACACAATAAATTTAAAGCTAACAATTTGGGGTAGTAGTGCTAAACTTCTCAAAATTTGTAGCTTAGCAATTAATTATTGATTGCTAACCAACCATACATTTAATAAAGCATCATGTAAATAAATAAAAATAATTCCCATGAACCCTCAAGGCTTGAAACTACAAGTCAAATTCAATTGCAGTAAGGTTTGAATATTTAGGATAGCAATACAAGATGGATAAATCGGAGATGGAACTATTTGTTGTGATTGAGACAAATTAAATTGGCAGAAAGAAGTAAAGAAATAAAGTGGAAATTTTATTGATGTAAAGAAAGAAAGAAATACTAAAATATAAATGAGTTTAATCACTTATGAATTTTCATATGTTCACTGAATCCTTGTGGACATGCCACTTATTACTAGACTGCGAACAATGATAATGCTGAAAATAAACTAAGATTTTTTTAATGGAAAGAAATTTTAGGAGTCTAATCCTTTCGAACATTATCTCTTTTGTCAGTAGATTGCCTGTGGCTAGCAGGAACGAATTTAGAATCATCTGTCTCCTCCATTGGTTCAGGTGTCTCAGGTTCGGGCTCTACTTGTACAAATTTTGCCTCTTCCTCCTCATCAAATGAAATGTCTATTATTATTGGAGTTGGAGGTGGATTAGGATCAGAAATCTCCATAAGCGAGCTATCTCCCTCTTGTTGTCCTTCATTTTCTACCTGATTTCCCCCTGAAGAAGAAGACGAAGAAAAACTCCCTACTGATTACTAGGTGGAGGGTTATTCCTTGCTTGATTGTTATAGCAGTAGTCGGGGTATGGAAGATGTAAGTGTTGACAATGGGCTTTTTCCACTCTTACGAGGTAACTAGTCAGGAATGCATAATCTGGATACCACCGGCCATAACAATCTTTGTATTTATAGTAATTTGGGATGTCTCCTGGAAAGTAAAAGTTAGAAAATCTTTCTTTGACAGCTATGTACGGAGGCTCCTCTGGAAGGCAATGGATGATCATCGATGAGATGTGATCAGGGGTGTCATAAACTCTGTCCCGTAAGACATTACTCATATAGGTACAAAAGTAACTGATCTTTTCTACGTAATCGTAGGGGTGTTCATTATTTTTTTAACGAGTGTGCCCAAATGAGTGAATTTTCTAGGAAAGATAGGCATCCTGTAGAGAAAACTCTAAGAAAAGAATTCCCTTCCCGAAATAAAAAAAAATAAATAATACATTTTTGCAAAAATTAAGTTCGGTTTTCAATCATACAATCTTGGAAGGTGACATATAACAATTCACATATTGCATGCTTTCATCGTAAAACATTTAGTCATACAACATGCTTGAACATCTCAAAATAAAAATTATGCACATAGGGAAAAATTTAAATTCTAGCTTATATGCCCTTTCTTTTCCTACACAAGCTCACCAACATGATAATAAAAGCTTTTTACACATAATCCTTACCTCAATTCTTGCTTCCCTGCACAATGATCAAACTAAAAATTTTTTTTTTACCCTTCTAAAAATTTTATTCGAAATCCTAGGAAAAAGGGGCAATTATTTCGGCCTTCCCAAAAATTTTGGACACCCCCACCAAAAAAATTTGGGTGTCCCTCTAAAAAAAAATTTCGGACCACTTTAAATAAAAAAATAAAATTCGGTTCGTTTTTTTATAAAAAAATATATAAAATCAGAACAAAATTTAACACTGTATAAATAAATAAGCACTTGGCCAAGTTTAAAACATAGTACTAAAAAAACGTTTTCGGGTTTAGTGGTAATTTTAAAATCTCAACCAAATCTCTGGTACCACTTTGTAACACCCTAGAAATTCCTTTATTTTAAAATACCTGTTTTTTCCTGTATAAAACTTTAAATAGAAATATCTAAGACATTACCGCCACAATTGAACAGATAAGGCAAACATCAAAGATACACAATAGAAGACTAATTTTTAAAACCTTTCCAAAACAAACCAACTTGAAAAGTTAACCAAACGAAAGTAAAGTTAAAACCAAAATAAACGAAGTAAAATGAAAATCAACCTACAACTTGGAACAATTACAGGCCCTTATTTAAAACCAAACCAAATCAAAAACTTGATGTTAGATCCACATATAAATAATTAAAGTATAAACACATTGTAAACTAATAGAAACTAGCATAATTCGCTCTTCACTCATGCCTCGTCACGAACATGCTTCAATACTTGAAAAGCTTATCTCTACTTGCCTCCACTGCTCTCAATTTAAAATGGGTCATCATAGGGCCAAGATAAAGACATGGCCAAAACACACATACATACAATCAGCAATGCTGAGTACATAAGCGTAAATAAACACGCTAACATGCTTTCACCTATCAACACACACTTACCTCAATGCTCCTGTTTACAAGCACACACAACATTCAACAAGACTTTTTAACCAGACCAATAAATAATTTATTAAGCGTTGATCACACATCGAACGAGTTTGCAACTCTACCTCCCCAAAATAAATTTAGGTTATCTGACACGGGAGCTAACCGTGCCAGCACAAAACCACACATAGGTGGCGGAATTCCTGCGCATAACAATAAATAAAAGGAATGTACAGCGTCCTGTACTCCATTAGAAGTTATGGTAAAATATAAAACCCCATAACTCCCCCCATATGTTCATACTCAAGGTATATACGTTCCAAGAGTTTTTGTGTGTAATCTCTTTTACTTTGCGTTATTTAAAGATTATTAGACTTGGTGATGACTCTCAAACCACAACCATTCAATCAACAACAAATATTCAATCAACCAAACATGTCAATTTAATTCTTGAATAATTAGTAACCACATAATATTTAATGTTGAACCCTTTTTAAAACTACCTCAGTGACAAAGACACCTTAAACGCATAAAGCGCCACAAATCCTATCTCTCGGTGTCAAAAACACCTTAAGTGCATGAAGGCACCAACATACAACTTATTCCTCGTGAACCAAGACACTTATATAGCTAATTACTCATGCTTCTAGCATCAATAAAAATTATATGAACCATAATAAAATTCATTTTCAATATTCCAAACCAAATTAAATTTGTAGTTTAATTAAGCATGCATTCTTACATGCTACAAATAAAAATGCAGTCCATATAATCATGCCAAAATATAATTTTCCAATCCATAAATCATCACAAATAAATCATGCTTCATAATTCAATAACCAACATCAATAATCCACCATTCCAAACATAAACCTTAGCATGATACTACTGGTAATTGATTTAAATCAAGCCTAACATGATATTACAATACCAAATATATGCTATGTACGCGAACGTACCTTGAATACGATCTTAAAATCGCCACGACTAATAAAAATTGCTTACTTCAAGATCTCCTACACATTAAAATCATAGTAGAGTATTAAAATCCACTCTAAACAAATTTCCAGCGATATATACTATATTAAAACCCCTGATAATTTAATTAAAATAAGATAAAATTATATTTATAACATCATACTTTAGTCTCAATTAATGAGTAATTTATATTTCTTAAAGAAACTTAGTTTTAAATACTCTACAAAAAATTCCAGCACTTTATTTTAATTAAAACTTGCTGTAAATAAGCCTTAAAACGCTTTGGTCAAAGATCTAAACCATTATACATCATAATCCTTTAATTATTCACAAATCAAGAACCTAGGGTTTCAAAAATTGGGGCTTTTTAATTAAAATCATACTCTGAAAATTTAGTAGCATAATACTTATTATCAAATTTCAAAATCAAATCCCAAAACTCAAAATTATTAATTTGATCTAAGAATAGATTAGTTATAAACAATAAAGGTTAAGTTTTTTTTTTTTTTTGGAAAATCGAAAAGGGGAGGAGGAAAACGGCAGCCACCTGCTGCCGGTGGTCGGCAGTGGTGGGTAAAAAGGGCAGCCGAAAAAAAAGAAGGGGAAGGGGAAAAAAAAGAGAAAGAAAAGAAAGAAAAAAAATAAGGAGAAAGGAGGGAGAAGTTTACCTTGGGGAAAAAAAACAAAGTTGATTTGCCTAATAAGTGGGATATTTATACCCCTTCTCTACTAATACTTTCCCTAAATTTTCCTCTTTTAATTTTCCTTATCCCTTCCCTAATAAAATTTATTAAAATCATATTTTCCTAACATAAAGCCTAACTTTTATAAAATAATTAATTCAATAAACTTTCCCTTTTTATAAAATACATTCAAATTTATATAGAATAAATAATTAAAATACCATAATTAAAACAGTAAAATTATTTAAATACTTTTACAAAATACATATTTTAAATGAAATACGTATAAAAATACGGGGTATTACCAGCTAACTTCATAATATAGGCAGTTTTGAAAGGTTGGGGAGGAACGCCTACTCCTCACAGGTGCACACCTGCTCCTCACATGATGCACTTGGTAGAAAGTTTACAGGGAGTTTGGAGCGCCCTCTCCTCAGAGGTGCACGCCCGCTCCAGCTGGAGCGGGCTCTTCTTTCTCTATTTTTCTTTCCCTAAACAAAATCCATGCATCAAATGCTCGCCAAATTGAATCAATAAACCTGCAAAACATGGACAAACACAAACCAAGAGTGGGCAAGGCCGAGATAAAACATTTTCATTCAAAAACGGGTTAGAAAGAGGGAAAATGAATACAAAATCGGGTTTAAATTAACACAATAAGTGATGAAATAAACCACTTATCAAATCCCCCCAAGCTATCCAAATGCTTGTCCTCAAGCAATTTACATTGCCCAAAAACAGACCCAAAGATCAATTTGCTCAAAGAAAAGCACATGCATAGATACAAGAATCCTTAAGCAATAAAACTCGAGCATGAAGTATATGCCTAAGATCAACCACGGTCATGACTAGCCAAGGCCTAGCTAATCTTTTCGAAAATA